GAGGTAGCGAATTTTATCTTTCTTTTTTCTAAAAAACTGGTACATCATGATTGTATATATATGAAATACAGTGTGATATTTCAGTATACAGGTGTAATGTGATGATCAAATGTAGGTAATTACCACGTGTGATGACCAGATCATGTTAATCACCTCAAGCGCTTACCATTTTTTGGGGTGAAGAATATTAAAAATTCTCTCTTCTAGCTATTTTGAAATACACAGTAAATTATTGTTAACTGTTGTCTCCCTGCTGTGCTATAGAGCACTCGAGTTTATGCTTCTTCTCTTTATCTGACAGTTTAGATTTTTATAAAAGCCTTTTATGCAATGTATGCTACGGGAGAGTTATTTGAGGCAGGTATTTCTAGTAAGTTTCCATAATATGAATGAAGAACTTAAAAATGCTAAATACGTTTAGAAGAAATAGAAAAACTTTAGCCAGTTTTTTTTTTAACTGCTAAACTATGAAATCAGACAGTCTTACTAGCGTCTGTGGCCTCTTAAACCATGTCTGTCTATATCCTTTCTCCCTTTTGACCTCATTTTTGGGAAGTATTACACTGTCTGACCTGCTATTAATATTATTGTATTTGGAGTCAAAAGAGATAAAGACGCTGCATTTCCAGAATTGCATCTGAGTAATTTGTGAAATTGCATCTTACAATTTACTACCGTTTCTAACAGTTCTTTAACATTTTCTGTCTCAACCGGGTGTTCATATTCATGGCAGTGACCTGCAGGGCCTTGCAGGGCCTAGTTCGTGAGAGAGAATTACTTCAGCCAAAACTGGGAGTGAGAATAGAAAAGTCTAGTCTTCCTGTCGTTTGGTTTCCAGTGGCAGGACTTTAGAGATTCAAGACATGTGAGAGATTTATGGAAATTAAGTACCTTCCACGAGCAACACATAGGATAAAAGTTATTTGACCTGGTTGTTTCCAGGCATTAAAGGCCAAAACTGAGATTAAATGAGGGTAACAGAGACTGGGCTGCAGATGAGGCTTTCCCAGATGTTCATTCAAAGTGCAGGTGGGAGGAACCTTGCCCTGTGGTGCAGGGCCTCAGCTAGTCAGATTAGGTCTACAACGCTGCTTCTGTCCTTGGTCATTCTGCTTGGGACTCTAGTCAGACATACACGGGTAAGAATATGTTATAGAAATATGCTCACAGGTGCCCAGGCCTCGACCAGAACTCGGCCACCTTTCATTCAGCAGTACCAGGACTCCACCGGACAACATGCCACAGTCTATACAAGAAATAAGAAAAGCACCACAGTGGGGAAAGCAGGAATTAGCAGGTGAGCAGGCAAACAGGTTGGAATTTTCACTGTGCCAGACACACGAGGGTGACCTCACTAAAGAAATGTCAGCCCCCCCAGCCGCAGTATCTCCAGCTATATAATACTGACAGCCCCAGGAAATCTATGAGGAGTAATTGAAAAATGAACCAACCTACACAGCCTGTCTGCTGTGGTTTCCGGGCTGGAAAGATAAGAAAGAAAGAAAGAAAGAAAGAAAGAAAGAAAGAAAGAAAGAAAGAAAGAAAGAAAGATTAGAATCTTTTGTATTTCTACAAGAGACACAATCGCAAATGTCTCTATCCAAATTCAACTTTGAAGTATCAAGGCACATTTCTGACTTACGAACTCTGATGTATTCACACTTGCCCTAAGCTCTGACATACTGTGTTCGTAAACCCATCTTTTCCATTCATCCCACCAGATAAAAGTGTTACTAGGGGTGTGATAACTTAATTCTGTAAGTGCCCAATTTCAGATCCTCTTAAAATAGAACAACCAAGGGATACTGTAGAGCAGGAAGAATAAGTCTGTTCCTAAATAGCCGGAGGCAGATAAGAGCACCCAGGATCCCAGTCCTCCCACGTGGCCTCGGCCTCAGAACAGCAAGGCAACAGTCCACAGCCGAGCTTTGACACAACCCCCTTCAGGCCGAGGGGTTCCTTTCTCTGGTTCCTCCCTAGATTTTGCTTTTTCTCACCAGCTTTTGCTTTCTTGCCTTTGATAGTTTGTTTTCACTTGTTTAGCTTCTTGGTGGTTTTTTTCTTACAGAGGGTCTCTCCGTACCCCTTTCCTCTGATCTGTCTAAGTTGAAGCTTTCAGGGACATTCTTGTGTGCATGTGCTGTACCTGTGGGTGATACAGAACCGCAGGGTTGCTGGAGACATGGGCTGTGCGCCGTGCATGAGGCACAGCTGGTGTTGCCAGGCGAGGTGAGCGCTATGGCTGAAGCCGTGTGCACATTTCACTGGGACGATGTACTTCGGGGATTATTCGGACTTCGGATAGAAGGGCAGAGGGGAAAAATGAGCAAGGTACTCTGTGAGAAAGAGGCTTTCCTGCTTCCCTACAGCAAAGTATCTCTTCGTGTTCTGACCTCTCGCTTTCTTAGGTGATAGCTAGTTCATCTTCTGAGTTCATCTAGTGAGTGTAATCATAAAAGCTAGTAAATGAATCAAAAGGGGTCCTGGGAGTTCAGTGGCCCCAGGTTCAATCTCAAGCATGGCAAATGACACAAATAAACACACAATCCAAGCTAGTCAATTAGTACTGCTCATCATATATAACATGATTGAGTTCTAACAACTCAATGCTTTAGTCTCAAAAGAGGATGAAATAGATACTGTTCAGGGTGGTTTGGGGAGAGGCAGAGGCCTGGGGTCCTACTATGCGCGTGATTCCTTAGGCAGGTTGTGGGTAAGGTGTAAATGAGACTGGGACCCCGCTGGGCAGATTCAAGATCCTCACCACCAGACTTAAACGTGCCTTGGCTTAGCATTGACATTACTGCCTCCACAGTCCCCTCTTAGATTTGCTCATGATTCAGGTAAACTGGAAACAGTCAGCCTCCCCCTTCTGCATTAAGCTGGGCAAGGCTTCCATCCCTGGGCTCCGTGTCTTTCTTGATGGGCAGCGTGAGTCAGAAGGAAACTCACTCTGTCTCATTCATTCCCTTGCTTACATTTGCTTGAGATCTCCTGTGTATTAAAGAGCAAACTGTAGGTGTTTAAGGGTCTTTCAAAAGAGAACATGCTGTTCCCAGGAGTAAGATGACTTCTGAGAGCAGCGTTGCATCAAGCAGAGGGCTCTGCTTCCTGGGGTGAGCCGAAGCTCATCTCTGGGGTAGCAGGAGCATTGAGGTGGGGTTTGTCCGCAGGAAGTAGTGTTTGCTGGGCCATCGTAATCCCTGATCCACCACAGGCATGGTGTGGAGGTGAACAGGGCCTCAGGTACTGTCCTGGGTTCAAGTCTTCTTAGCCTCTGACAGGCCATGTGCTCCTTGGGAGGTCATTTAACTTTCTTTTTTCTCACAAAATGAGAATAATAATAGAATTTACCTCCTAGGCTTGTTGTGTATAAAATGAGATGATATAGTACAAACCAGGGCATGGTGAAACGTACAATAAATGGCAACTCTCCACCACTGCCAGTCTTGGTTTCTTTCTCACTGTGTGGACTCGGGCAGCTAATATAAACTCTGTGAGCCTCAACTTCCTCATCTGAAAAGTGGGAACAATGTTACTTATCACACAGAACTGATGTGAAGATTAAATAAGATGTTTAGCACACTGTCTGGCATAGTTTACCTCATCTTTACCTGCCTGACAGCTCATGTTGAAATTCCTTTATTATAGTTTCTGCTTTATAGGTATCTTATTCACAAGCAAGTACCACCAAATGGAACTGGCTTTTGAAAACCATCATTAAGTTTCTCCTTAAGGAGAAAAGAAGGAAGAGCACATAGGTACTGGGGGCCTGAAGGAGAGAGCACAGGGAAGCTGGGATTGCCAAACACAAACATCACCTGGTGGGTCTCACCAGACATCTGCTCTTCAGTCCAGACTACTTCTGTGCCTGGAGGATCAGGAAAGGGCCTTACAACACGACAGAAGCCAGGGCTCTTGGTTATAATGGAACCTGGTCTTGAGGGGGGAGCAGTGGAGACGTTAGATAACTACTGTTCACTGTCGAGAAGGCAGGTTCTCCACAGTAAGACTGGCCTCGCTAGCTGTGGACCTCACGCCAACACCCAGCACATACGGCCCTTGACTCCTTTTGGCTGGGCCAGCCCAAGCTCAGCCCGGAGCCGCTGAGGCTGGCGCAGCCCAGGTTGCCTCCAAATGCACCTTCGGGGTTTCTGCACTAGAGGTCACAGTGCATGGCGAGCCATGTCTCCTACGCACCTGTGTGCATGGTTTGCTGATTAATCAGGCACAGGTGCGACACTGGGTTCTCGCTGAGGGACATCTAATCTTCTTTTTAAGCTTCACCACCAGACAGCTGCCTCTGTCACAGGGCGTTGTAGTGACCAGCAGTGACCAGCAATGCTTGCCAGGCGCTTACTGTTTAGTGAATTGGGCGGAACAATTGATGAGGGTGAAAGTTTAACGTTTATCGAAGGTAAATGAAGAAGAGAAGAAGAAAAGGAAGTGCAAACGAAGTATCGAGGAGAAAAAGTGCTCCGAAGGAAAAAGAGAACTAGGTCCTGCCTGCAGGCCAGCCGCTAGGAGAACACGAGGGCAGTGGCAGCGAGGTCCGACACTCGATCCAGGCTGTCCCACGGAAGGCCTGCGTGGCCTCACGCTACATCCGAGGGTGGGACTCAGGTACAGGGCTCTCAGCGCGATCGCAGAGGACTGGGATCAGCTGCGGGGCTGAGGCGCGACAAGTCTCGGAGATGCCAGGCCGGGCGCGGGGACGGTCCCGCGGGAACGCCCGCGCCTTCTGCCCCTCCTTAAGCCTGGTGTTGGCGCAGCGGTGACCTGCAGGACGGGTGGAAAGCGCAGCCCCTGGACAGCTGGGAGGGTGGGCGGCCAGCAGGGGGCGCGGGGGCTCCGGGCGGCCAGGGGAGGTCTGGGGACGGCCGGGGTGCTCGGTTCCACGCGAGGACCTTCCCGGCCAGGCTCTGCGAGCTGGCACTCCCAGGCCGGTGACTGTGATTACCTCTAAAGTTTATCTGTCGTGGGCTGGGGTTGAACCGAGGCCTCCTCGTGCACAGCAGGCAAGCTTGTACCCCGGCTGCACCCCGGGGCCCCCCGCCGTGTGCTCAGAGCCAGGCTCCGGGTTTAAAGACGCCCCCGCGGGGCCGGCCCACGACCCGCCGCGTCAGCGCCGGCGGCTCCCGCACCGGTACGCAGCGCCCACTCGCGGGCCCACGCATCGCCGCCTAACCTGGGCCTGCAGCCTGAGCCCCCGCCCCCCCACGCACGGGGTCCCCGTCTCCGCCCGCGGTCACGTGGCGCGCCCGCCCCCCCGCGCCGAGCTGTAAAAGGACGGAGCCGCGCGCGCAGCCGTCCGTCGTGGGCGCCCGGGCTCTGCAGCCGCGTCCCCTCCGCTCGTCCCCGCCCCGGCGCCGGGCTGGGAGCCGCCCCGGGAAACTTGCTGGCGCAGAGGTGGCGGGCCGGGCCGGGCCGGGCCGAGGGAGCCGGGGTGCAGCCGGGTCCCCCGCCTCCTCGGCGAGCGCCCCGTGGCCCGAGCCCCGCGGGGAGCGCAGCTGCGGGGCGCGCGGCTGCCGCCGCCTCCACGCGCGAGGTAAGTGCCGCTGCGCCCGAGGTGTGGTGTAATCGAACGACTTTCTGCTCGAAACCCTGCAGCCACGGATGGGTCATAGTGAGACCGATAAAAGGGGAAACAGTCCCACGGTGTCTGAACCCCACTGGAGCCAGAAATGCAGTTAAATGTCTGCGTTTAAGGCAGCAGCAAGTTAACTTGCTCAGTTAGCGCTTGTGCATTTCGGGGCGGTCGTGCTGATAGAAATGTGTTTTTCAAAAGAAAAAACAACCCTGTGGTTTTCCTCGGTGCATTCCCATCAGTGGGTGGGTGATGACGGCGGACTGGAGCGCGGGGCGCCGGGGGCTGCGGGCCGGGGAGATGCGCCCTCCCGCACTGTCGGGGTGCTTCCTGCCCGGGCACCCGCTGCGCTGCCCTCACCTCCTGCTTCCTCGGGTTACTCGTGGTGCCCGACTCGTTTTAGACGAGTAAAATTAGGTCCAAGGAGTATATTTTTTTGTGAAAAAAAAACTTTGAAGTTCTCTTCTGGGGAGTAAGGTCGGCTTAATTTTATTTGCTTTTCAAAAGCAGGTTTGCGCTTTGCTGTAATATAAAGCACCAAAGAAAAGATTTTGCCTTTTTTGGCAGAGGGAGGGGGCGAATTCCCAGTGTTTACATAGGCTTTCTGTTAGAAATTTTTACTTTTGCTGTTAGTTTCTAAATTCGCAATGGCTGTTTTCCTCTGTGTGTGTTTGCTATTTAAAAAGTGAGCCTGGGAAAGGAAAGATTTGTACTGTGAGTATTGTAAAGAGTGAATGTACTATGACTGTGAAAAACTTTCATTTTTTTCTGGAAAAAAATCTGTGCCTACATACGTTCTAACAAAGAAAATGCAAGGATTTATCAGTAGGTGTTCAGGCATAAACTTGAGGATTCTATTTTATATTCAGTTGTTTTTTAAAAGGTGAATCTGAAACAATCCTACTTCAAAAGCAGTCTCTAGTAGCACTTAAGTCTTCAAGATATAAATCTTTAAAATGAGTTAAAAACACATTTAGAGCATATTTCATAGTGGTTCTAAGGGACTTGACTGAATCTAATCACATTTTACATTTTTCAAAATTTACTTATAATACAAGAAAAGTATTAGTAAATTCAGCTCAAAAATGTAATTATCTGATAGAGTGTTTGCCTAACAAGCAAAAGACCCTGGGTCAGATCACCAGCACCAGGGGGGAAAAAAAAGCATTTAATAGCTATTGATAAGCCCCTTTAAAAAATGAGATACTGTAATTTTGTGTAAATGTGTTTCTAACATATAATTGTACAAATTCAAAGTACATTTGTGATAATTTGATGTTTTGCATCATGGAACATAGAAAATATGTAAAAATAATTATATAATTATGTAATGCTATGGCTATTTTTAATGGAGTTATACAAAATTGTGTATATAAAATGTGAAAGTTTACATTTGTCACTTACTGGTTAGTTTTTTATTACATTTACAATCCTGGAACTGTATACAGTACTTCAATATTGTGCCTTATAATTTAGTGACGAGTACATGTTTTGGACCTAATGACAGTTGAAAAAAATCAGGCTTATCAGTCTTATTTGCATACAGTTAAATTTCGCCTGTTGAGATGTACCACGCAATGCACTATGACAGGGAATTACAGTCTTCTCGTTTGGGGAGACAAATGTACCTGTTCTAATGAATTGCATGTAAATCATTTACTAATCATCAGTTGGATGATTATTTTAGAATACCAGTAGTTTTTCTTCCTAATTAATGTTAAATGGATTGAGAGCCTTAATATTTTGCTTTTAAAAGATATTTAAAGCTAGTAATTGCTAAACATCTTTACACATGTCAAGGATGCTTGGCGCTTAAGATAAATGTGTGTATCCTCAGTCTTTCCCATGAAATTCTTTGTAGTCCTTGCCTTGTGAATGTGTGTTATGATTTCTGTAGGGCACACGAATGCAGGGTGTTTGGATTGAATGCTAAAGTTAGGGCATAGGATGGAGAGGTAGGATGAAGCTGAACTATAAAATTTCCCTCAAGCCAGCAGGCTTGAGAATATAGCTGGACTATAGCTTCCATATATGTGTTTTGTTCACATATATGTGGAGATAACATGCTACGAGTAGCCCAGCTGTCTGGACGGTGGTGATGGACTTTGTGGAATACAAGTTAAGTGAATAAGATTAGGAGACAAAAAATCTTCAGGCTGGCCGTAAGTCATTTCCTCTTAAATTGTCCGGAGAGTCTAACTGGCTTCATCCCCTTGGAGATGTGATAACACCTCTTAGAAGGTGTACCTCGTTTCCTCCTCAGGAGTGCTGCTGTGAAAAGATGCATTCCATCAAAGGCCCCATTTTCACTGAGCCTCAGGAAGTTTATGTGATTTGTCTCAGATTCTCTAGCTTTCAGACAGCAGAGATTAAGACTTGGTGTTGTGCTCTGCCCACAGGGCTGCAATGCATGAAAACCGACTTGCTGCTGACTTCTGTTCATTAGCTGCTGTTCTTAAAGAGTGTCTTTCTGCTACGTGCAGAGCCCACTTTTGTCTTCACAGAATCACTGTCAATATTTAGGAGTTCATCAGCTTTTTTTGTTTGCTGAAGAGCCATTATATGTTTCCCAGGCAGTACTTAGAACACCCTGCGTACAAAAAGCATTTCTGGGAGGCTGGGGATTTAGCTCAGCGGCATAAGCACCTGCCTTGTAAAAAAGATCTTGCTTCTTCCTATTGATCTTTTGCTAATCATTTATCTTTAGGATGTCACAAATAAGAAGCAATGTGGTATTTAACTTGTGTGTCTGATTTATTTCACTTAACATTATGGCCTCACAGTGCATCCATTTACCTACAAATGCCTCAGGTTTATCCTTCTTTAGGGCAGAGTAGTACTCTATTGTGTATAAATAACATTTTCCTTGTTCATTGACATGAACATATAGGCTACTTCCAGGATTTAGCTATTATGAGTTGTATAGCTATAAACATGGGTATATATGTATCACTGTAATATGATGTTGTTAACCCTTTTGGAAGATACCTGAAAGGGTTAGCTTTGTGGGATGGAATTATCCCACCCTATAATGTTGATGAAATTTGATCTTTAAAAAATTTTCTTTATATACTGTGGACTGAGCCCAAGATCTTATTTTACATTTAGATGCATCCTATTCCTTTTAAAATTTGAGATAGCGTCTCCCTATGTTGTCCAGGCTGACCTTGAACTTTGATTCTCCTTCTTGGTCTCCCAGGTAGCTGGGATTACAGGCATGCTGGACATTTGATCTTTGATGGATTCTTTCTCTTGGTCACTTTAAATATCTGTAGGATAGGGGCTGGGGATTTAGCTCAGCGGCATAAGCACCTGCCTTGCAAGCAGGCGATCGTGAGTTTGATCCCTGGTACTGATAAAAATGAAAAAGACAAAAAAAAATATCTGTAGGATGACTCAATTGGGATGGGTTCATTCATACGTTTTTATAGACCTTTGATAGGGAAGATCTTTTGCTATGTGTTCCCCTGCTTACTACAATGGTTTATGTTCATAATTCTTTAGCTTAGGGGAGAAAAACTCTTTCCATTGGCCACCAAGTGCTTAATTATTAAAAATGCCACTGACAAATAGTTGCCACATGAATCCAGATGGATCCAAAAGATATCTAAGCAAAAAGATATCATTGCTTTTCAATGATTACCCAGCAGTCAGTTCTCTAGTGTTAATTATCATTGTACGAGGTAGATGGAAAAATTACAGGTGATTGGTGATACTTGACATGTAAGACCTGTGTTTTCTAGACAAAGTTGTGCTGCCTGATCGACTGGGTATCTATTGGCCTTTGTCATTCGGTGTGTGTCTGACAGGTCATCTTAGCATTGCTGGGCTGAGAATGAACATTTTGGTTGTAGGGAAAATGAGTAATGGAATTGATTTTTCTGCCCTGGAGGGAGAGGTCATATTCTTGAAGAATTTTGTGTTCATTTTCCAGCTAGATAAAGGAGAGTTACTCATGAATTTCCATGTAACTATTCATTATTTAGTGTTAAAGAAGCTTTATGTTTTTAAGAGGGCTGATGAAAGAAAAAGGTAGCACTTTAGTGTGAGTAGTTTAGCAGAGGCAACACATCAAGCTATCAGAAAACCCACTGATAACTACATTTCACTTGGGAGATGTGGTTTAGGCAACACAAAATTTAGTAAAAACCTTGGTTGGCCACAATGAACATAGGTTTCTGTTGTTTAACCACTTACTTAGTTGTTTTGATAATTTAGTATTAATTTGAAGTCTTGTGTTCAGATTCTTCTAAAATTTATTTTCTTTTCTACCTTATAGTTTCCTAAACACTTAATCATTTAACCTTCACTTGGTGATTTGGACTGTGGCATTTGTCTTTACATTAAGTAGCACTCTGTATAATAAAGTGTATATTAAGCAGCACTCTGTATAAGAAAGTATACCGGCCAGAGCAAACACATTAATCTTTGGACACACTTTTTGTTCATTTATTGTGTAGGTTATCTTCTTTTTATACTTTTAGTTCAAGGAACACAAGATTTAATTATTACTTCTAGATTAGGTTTTATTATGCATAAATGTAATTTGTTAATATGTTAACTTCAGTAATTTGTTATCAGTTGTTAATAATGTATACTATTTAAATTCTGTTCTTAAAGTAGTTTAAATGAGTTTTGGTTACATATTTGTTTTTGTTTTGTTTTGTTTTTGAGTCAGGGTCTTGCTGTGTAGGTCATTATGCCTTGACCTCACTATGTAGCCCAGGCTGGCCTTGAACTCACAGTGATCCTCCTGCCTCAGCCTCCTGAGTGCTGGGATTATAGGCATGTGCGCCTACCCCTGACATTGATTACATAATTGGCTACATTAGGTATGCTCAGATTCCACAGCAAGAACAGTGCTCTAAAATACGATCCTAAGTAACAGTATTGAAAACATAAGCACAGTGAGTAGGTATATATGTAGGTAGGTTCAAATAGAAGTAATTCCAGGATATATC